ATAGTGACCAGTGAGTGTGACGGACGTACATACATATAGTGACCAGTGAGTGTGACGGACGTACATACATATAGTGACCAGTGAGTGTGAAGGACGTACATACATATAGTCATGTGGCAGTGTGACGGACGGCAGTGATCATTTTTCGAAAAAAGTCTGCATTAGGAACTTTTCGAACTGTGGCAAAGAACCGGGACCGGTTTCTGCTAGAAAATGGCCCACTATGATTTTGAATCAGAATGATCGCAAATGCTGCCATTTTCACGTCCCAGCACTTCCCACTCTCAAATATTCCTTCTGCTGTCTTTCAAACAAAAATTACTGGTCGTTTTTCGCCACCAGTTCAACAAAAGCGATTTACATATTTCCGCAGTTTTATCGTCCGATTTCCCCTATTATCAGCTTTTCTCAGGAAACGGCGATGTACACCCCATTTGATAGAAAAATCTTCGGGCTATTCAAAACAGTATTNACAGTATTCCGATTAGTTCCAGCTTTTACCGAAAAATAAAAAACAAAGGAGTTCTTGTGATTACGAAACACTGTACTGCATAGAGAACAGCCAATCAAAATCAAAATCTTCTAGAAGAACTTGACGGACTTGATCAACTGGATAAAATAACAAAAAGGCGTTTTGAATCTCGAGTGTAAATAGTAAACATTCTTATTAGAGAGTTTACTTTAGATGTTTTTCAGTTCAGTTACTGTTTTTCTTCTACTTTTCCGTGTTCTGTTTAAATAAAATGAGTAAACGCCTCAATGTCAACGATCAAATCCTAGGAAATATGCCCTTCAACACGTCATATGTCATTGGATCTAATGCGATCATACACATAAATAAACAAAAATTTCCTGTTTCTCCATCCCTTTAAAAAGCTAAGCGCATACTAAAACCAAATCATCGCTAAAAACCCATGTTCAGTCAAGGGTCAGTGAATCGAAGATGAACGATACTTGTTGATATGAGCACCAAGTATCACTATTTTTAGGGCAAAACTTGTGTTGTTTGTCTTCGTCATAGTCATTCGTTTTGATGTAACGATAAAAAGCTGCTTTGCCATATTGTTGCATAATATCTAATGCTTCATTCACTGGTTTGCCCAAAACTGGAAATCAAAAACGTATTCAGTATCAATCTCTTTATCAAAACATAGTTCATTTATAATATTAGTTATATTTCTTACCATAAGACAATGAACTCGCTTGCCGAATCGCAATTCCATAGCTAGTCGATAATTTATCCACCATTGACGTTGTCATTCGTCCAACACCATCACCCCATTTTTTATTGTCATCGAGTAGTTGTTGTTGTCTTGCTGGTTGTTTCTTAGATGATGATAATGATGTAGAACTTTTCATAGTTGTTGTAGTC